CTGGAAGGGGACCTCAGGAACCCAGGGTCTGCTCTGGCTCACAGAGTCTGCGAAGTTCCACCCAGGACTGGTTGGCTCCACCATTACTCCACTCTGGAGAGCAAAAGCATCATGGCAGAAGGGCAGGGGGAGGAAATCCTCTCACATTATGGCAGCCAGGAAGTGGAAAGAGGGGAACCAGATAGGAAGGGGTGGGGGACCAGGTACAGCCCCCAAGGTCACACTCCGGTGGCCCACTCCCTCTCACAAGGCCCCACCTCCTGCTTCCATCACCTCCTATTGGGCCATCAAGTCATGATTCCATGGTGGTTTAATCCAGGGATGAAGTCAGCGTCCCGGGACCCAATCACATCCCAAAGGCCCATCTGAAACCGAGCCACCCACACCACATACCTCTGGGGGACACGTCACCCCACACCATGACGATCACCCCATGAGAGAGCACAGCCTGCATCCACCGAACCACAGGTGACTGTGAGGCCACCTGACACTACCCGAGCCGAGTGGCGGGGTCACAGCCCCACTCCGCTGGAGAAACCCAGGGTGGTCTCCTGCTGTACACACTGACAGGACCTTCCAGCACCCGCGCTTGATCCCAACCACAGTGCTCGCAGTTGACCTTTCATGGTAATTTCGACTTTGGGGAGGAGCCAGGAGTCACACAGCGCCAGCTCTGGTGAAGAAGGTGGGCAAGGACACGCCACTGTGTTTACAAAACTGACCTTCTGTTTGACGGCCCTGGGCAGGAACAGTGTATTCTTTGATCACATCTCACAAAAGAAGACTTCAGCAGTGCTTCAGAAAGTGGCAGGAGTGGTAAGTGTGTCTGAGGCAACGGGGCTGTTATCTCGAGACAGTAACGGCAATGTGTCTCTCACGGTAACACATTTTATAATTTAAACGCTCCCTGTATTTCTCAATTGTATCTCATATATTCAAGGTGCGGAAACGCAAAGTCATACCCAGCAAAGGTATCCTTCAGAATGAAAGACTTCCTCACACTGGCAAAGCCAGGGCTTTATCATCACGGGACCTGCCTTCCACAAACGCAGAGGTCTAGGACGACAGGAAGGGAGGGAAGACACCTGCACAAACGGTCGCCCAGAGAATCCAGAAGCTGCAGAGTCACAGGAGACGCCGGGTCACTTCCTCATCAGGAAGACACCATGGGATATACAGGGACAGAGCCCTGGACACACAGAGCACAGGCTGAGAGAACGGAAACCAGACCATCCACACAGAAAGCCTCTGAAATGCACCCAGGAAGGAGATGACTCCAGCAGAGAACAAAATCTCCAAAATCACATCCTACCACAATACTATGAAATTAGAATTCAACAGCAGCAGAAATGCTGGAATGTCTACAACTACGTGGAAATTAAACAGCATACTCCTCAGCAACCAACGGGTCAAAGAAGAGTATCAAAAACAAGTAAGAGCCAGGCACGGTTCTCCCAGCACTCAGGGAGTCTGAAGCAGGAACATCAAAGTTCAAGCCCAGCCTGGGCAACTCAGTGACCCAACAAAGGCTCTGGGTTCAATGGCCAGCACCCGCACCCCCACAAAAAGACAAGGGGATACACCACGTCTTGAGGTGAATGCACCAATACACGTGGGACATGGCAAAAGCAGCTCTATGAGTAAAGTTTATTATCACTAAATTAAAAAAAGAGACATCTCTAATGAACAACCTCACTTTGCAATGCAAGTATGCCCAACACGGGAAGAAAGGGCAGTAACAAAGATTAGAACAAAACTAAACGAAATACATAAAAGGGCCCCATACACTGGCGCTGGGAATGGCAACCAGCACAGCCAGCAGAGACAAACCCAGGGAGGCCCTTGAGAGAATGCAGTGGATCCTCCACAGGCTGCTGCGGGGACACGGTGCTGATGTCATAAAGGCGCAGCTACACACCACGCTCACTGCTGCGTCCCCACAGCGCCACGGTGCGGAACCACCCTCTGCACTGCTGACAGGTCAGTGGACAAGGAGAGGGTGGCATATGGAAGCACACACATGCACAAACACACACGCAAACACATGGAAACACACAAACACACACACATCACCCAGCCTGAAAGAAGGGGATCCGCCCACTTGTGACAACATGGATGAACCTACAGGCTACCGTGTGATGTGACAGAAGTCACACAGAGAAGGCAAATCCTGCATGGCCCCACTTGTGCGTGGACTGTAGGGGAAGTCCACCTCTTAGAAACACGAGCAGAAGGGCAGTTTCCAGGCGCCAAGCCAGGGCCAGAGGGGTTGGGGAGATGCAGGTCACAGCATAAAACGCTCAGTCCCACAGGAGGAGTAAATCCTACGGATCTAATCTGCAGCTTGGTGACTCTAGTTTACACCTGAAATCCATTAAGACAGTACATATTAAATGTTCATATAAAAGGACAGTAGATTTTAAATGTCTTAACTAACAAAAAAGTAAAAACAAGACAAATGAAAACAAATATAAACCAAAACTGCGAGATGATCAGTGTGCTAACTCAGCTGTGGTAATCATCCCACAACACAGACATATATCAACTGTAAAACAATATTCAACTGCATTTGTTAGTTAGACCTCAAGAAGTTGGGGGAAAAAACATCTGCAAGGCCCAGCCCTCACGCTGCCCTTTTTTAAAGGCAGTAACAATAGCCCATTGTAAAACCGAAGCTGAGGGTTCCATGGGTGCCACAGCTGTCAGAGGACAACAGCAGTCTCTCCCAGCCTTATGTTCCTGCAGGTGGAGTCAGATCCCAGGAGCAAACCGCCACAGCCCTGGGACCAGAAGGACCATCCAGGCCATGGGGTCCAGTCTCTCAGTCTCCTGAGGCCCTGCTTCCTCCAGGAGCTCCCAGGCCAGGAGTCAGGAGCAGCCACCAACCCAGCTGCCCCGCTGCTGTGCTCAGGCTCTGGCGTGCAACCAGGGTGCCTGTCCTCATCCGCTGAACCTCCCCACCCATCTAATTTTATAGCCGTCTGCTCTGGGAACACTGCCTCCTTTTGGACTGCCAACATATGCTGTCTTTGCTTCTATTATGGAATGTGTCACATTGTGTCGCATTTGTGTGTTAATAAGTCTGTCTGCTTTCACATGAGCTTCAGGATGCCTTGTCTATAGACACCTTCCTTGTTCATCAGATTCATCCGGGGTTAGAGCACACAGCACTGGGTTGGGTACAGACCTCTGATAAACAGACAGCTGGAGAGACACCACGTAATGGAAAGGTAACACTGACTGGTGGCTGCATTTTCTTTCCATTCATCTGACAAACATTTACTGAGCACTTGCTATGATATAAAGGCAGACCATAAAGACAAGCAAAATCAGAAGACACTAATTCAGATGAAGTTTTTCTATACCCACGAAGCTCAGTATCTTAATAATTCTCAGAATAAAGACATAGAAATACATCACATTGTACCCACCACCAAACCTGGCACCCAACCATCAGTATCAGTAACAAACAAAGAGTAGGTATGCTACGCCCCAGGCAAGGGCCAACCCAGCTAACAGAGCACAGCAAATCTCTGGTGAAGGTGGAACAAACGTTTCACTGTGTAGTATGGTCTTGTGAAAAACAGCTTCTGCTGAGGATGCACCAAGCCTCTCCACAGACACGGTAAACAAAGTCAGTGCATGTCTGCACTGTATGTTCCTGCAAGTGGGTTCCAAGCTCCTCTTAGCTTAGGACATGATGGTGAAGTTCTCCTTGGATTACAGGGAGAAAGAGACTGCTCTCAACACACGGTAAGCGCTATGCCACTGGGGACCCCATTCCACTGCAGCTGACAGAGACCTCTCAGGACAGCCAGGCTCAAGCACAAGCAGAAACTGGCTCCATGGTTCAGCGCAGCTGACCGAACCACCCTGTCCTATGCTTTTTAACACTGCCGCATGATTCTAGTCTTACTGAGTGAGCTCAGTATACGCCATAAAGAAAAGAATAAGAAATGTAAGATCCCATACAATACTTGGAACCCACTTCATGATCAATCAAAGTCCTCTTTGGTGATTTGAACACCATGAGGCAACCTTAGCTACATTTCAAGATTGCTATCATGAAACACACACTGTCATCTTCACTCACAAAACAAAGACATAAAGATGATGTGCAATCAATATTTTCAAATAATTTAAAAGGATTTTTAAAAACTTTTAACGAGATACTCAATTTCCGCTGAAGAGAACCCTGACGGACTGTGTCCCTGCGTGAATCCCTTCTGGTCCTTTCTCCCTCTGGCCCCTGCTCTTCCCATCTCCACCCCAGGCGCCCTCTGTGTGCCACTGAAACTCCGGGTAGCCTGGCATCTTGATTATCTGAGAGGGTTAGATGCAGCTGTACATCACCTGAAAGTGGAGTTTGGTTTAGATGTCAGCAATTCATGAGGCTAATAACTGTAACACGATGTTCACAGAGAATCAGCCTACTAGGCAGATTACCAAACTAAATGGTTGGTTATTAACCAAGAAGAGTAAGCAAGTAAGGGATTTCATAGAATTAGATCTAATATTCTACATCCTGCTCCTGTAAATCCATGTGCACCTTCAACCAGAAGACTAATGTTTTAAAAGTTGCCTTCCTGTTTTTCAACACGTCAGAAACAAGTTACTCTGAAAGGCTGATGCCCGTTAACATATAAGATGGTTCATCAGAAGCTCTCCTTCACTGTGTTGCAGCTACTAGCTTCACAGAAGAGGGTGGGAACCCAGCAGCAGCAGATGTGCCGCCTGCCATCATGGCGGGAGAGGGCTGCAAGCCGGTCCTCACAGCCCAAGAGCAGAGCTGAGGCCGCACACACCTCAGAGGTCAGGCTTCCAGCACAGGTGGCCCAGCATCGGCAGGCAGCCTGGTCTGCAAGGTCAGACAGCACAAAACAAAGGCCCCAGTGCGTGCTAGGACAGACCGCCCCCGTTAGCCTTTGGCTGAGGAATCAGGGTCAGTCCCCCCAGAGTTCATGACGCGGCGTGGGAGTGCCAGTGGACACGACACTTACATGGCTTGGCATTAGCAGACACAGCCAGGCTCTCTGGCGGGTGCACGGCAGGGTGCCGGCTGTGCTCCCCTACGCCGGGGCTGTTGCCATACTCGATCACTTCCACGTGGCCCAGGGGAACACTCCACTTGAGCAGGTAGCGCTGGCTGGCGCCTGAGTGGCTCTCCTGGGAGGGGCTGAAACCGCCCAGAGGTTACTTCCCAAACAGTCACACGACCACATCATGACACCGCACAGGAGAAACTCTCTGACCGTGAAACCACGTGAACAGTAATGCGGCCACGTCATGGCACCGCACGGGAAGCTCTCATCGAGCTTTCCTCTGGACAGCTGCAGCTGGCCGGGGCCTGGGGACTCTATCAATGGGAGTGTGAGTCCGTTTCCTGGAGGGCGCAGTGGCCACTTCCTGGGAAGCTGGCTGTTCCGACACAGCTGAAGGGAAGGAGCCCAGCCGCGCGCTCTCAGGAACCTGGCCGTGCAAGCTCAGGCGTGTGGGGAGTGGCACTAACGGGAAAAGCATTCTCCCTGGCCGAGGCCCTGCCTGCTGCACAGGCGCTCACCCTGCGCTCCTGCCTTACCCTCAGGTTACATCGCTACCGCTGGGGCACAATGAAGTCACTGTGCTCCACGACTAAGGAGCTCACTGAGTATAAAAATTAAACAGGAAGACACAACCTAAATATTTCCTCTTTTACGGTAACGTGGAACACAGATGCCAAAAAACAGACACACACATCTCTAAAGCAGGACGCCACCAGCTTCTTTCTGCACAAAGGCACTGGGATGACAGGGCCGTGGGGACGTCACAGGCACCAGCTCAGTAAAGCCGGGCCAGAGCCTTGGTCAACCAACAGAGTTCTTCACTGAAAGAACCGAGGGATGGGTCAGGGGGCTGCGAGAACCTCCACCCCTCGTCGCAAGAGCCGTTTCATCTAAATTCCACTTGCAAGGAGCTGGTGACGCCGAGTCCCAAATTGCCAGCTGTGTGCTCTAAGGCTTGGCTGGTCTCCTGTCCCCCACACACACGCGCGTGCACACGCGCGCACACACACACACGCGCACGCCCTTACCGGGAGCTGACAGTGGCACACATGAGCACATCGTTCAACATGAGCAGCCGGCGCTCCTTGGTCTTGGTGATCTCCCCCCTGTCGTTGTACACCGTCTCGATCACGTCGTCCGAGCGGATGAGGTACCGGCTCCCGCTGCTGAGGAGCTGAGTGTGTGAACACTACAGTTACAGCTGCGCCTGCCCGAAACCGAAGGGCCCAGGGCAGGAGCTCACAGGAGGTGGGTTCTCGGCACCAGATAACTCTCATCCTCTGCCCATCCTCAAGAAGGGCTGGGTTCCCAGCCTTTTCTTTTCTTGGTTTTTTGAGACAGGCTTACTACATAGCCCAGGCTGAGCTGGAACTCACTATCTTCCTGCTGAGCCTCCCGAGTACTGAGATTACAGGAGTGCACCACCTTGCCAGGCCGGGACATGACTGCTTAAACTAAACGTTTTACAGCTGCCAGTGTTCACAGTCACCCAATCCCACGGCCAGACACTGGCTGCCCTCGCCTGTCCTCCAGCAGACCTCTCCGAGTGCTCGCCTCCTTCCCGCACAGGCCCCTCCTGCAGCTGCCCCTCCCCTCCATCCCCGCCCGCCTCGAGCAGGGGGGCGGACTGCCTGTAATTTACTTCCTCAAACCCTCTGCCCTCATCACCGAGTCCTCCGGGAAGACTCCACACCACCACACGGGAGGACGAGGCAGGCATGTCTGTAACCATGGCAACAGCAAACCCAGTGCCCTCTGCCACCCTGCGACCCTAAAGCCACACCACCGCCTGGCTCTGTGCAGCCAGCGCCAGCAGCGCCCGGCAGCCTGGGCTCCCGCCGATGGTCCAGCCCCTCCGTGCGGCACGCGTGCACACGGGGAAGCACCGGTGAGGCAGCGGGGCTCGAAGGACGAATCTGCCCCTGGAGAACCACAGACCCACAGTCCCACACTCAAAATCCCCGCACACGCCACGTGGGGAAGCCCAGTGACCGCTGCTTCAATCGTGCTTTTTAAAACTGCCAGTTAAATTACTGAATGTCATGACCAACTAGGAAATTGCCCTGGCTGAGAATAAAATATGATTTTAGCAGCCACGAATATCGTGCATAATTCCTTAACACGGCTCCTGTAAGTTAACGCCTCCCAAAGTCGACACGGGAAAGCCACGTGGGATCAGCCTGCGGCACAGGAGACTGAAACACGGCCCCCTGCTCTGCAGTGCTCTCCCTAGGTAACGCGGAAACCAGCACAGGCAGGTCCAAATCTACCCCAGCCGGAACTCAGTGTACTGAGAATAGAGTTCAGCTGAATGGCACTCTTGCGCATGCCTGTAACCCCAGCACTCTGGGAGGCTGAGTGAGGCAGGAAGAGCGCAAGTTCGAGTCCAGTGGGGACAACTTTGCAACTCTGTCTTAAAATAAAACAAATAAAAATAAAAGGGTTTGGAATGTAGCTCAGTGCAAAGGCTCTGTGTTCAGCTCACAGTACTGGAAAAAGAGTCGTTTTCAACCTCTGAGTTCATGACTCTTCTGGGCCCTCTGCAGAGGACACACACAGCGACGGCTGAGGTTCCCCGCGGCCCTCGCTTACCACCCCCTGCCCACAGCGCCCACCGGCCTGCCTGACCCCGGCCACGCTGTCCTCGCACGTGGCGTGGTGAGGCTGGCTGAAGAGGACAGGCACAGACTGCGTCCTCCTCCCTCAGAAGCGAGTGGGCTAAGGGGCGTATTCCAACTGGCTAGGAAGCAGCAGTTGAGATGACCCTGGTGTTATTCCCAGGAAGCAATACTTTCAGCAGAGAGTTGGAAAAACCTCACTCCACCTTGTTCAGGTATCTTTCATTTATGGCTTTCGCGATGTGTTTGATTTCACAGCGCTGATCGGCATCTCTTTTTCTTTCGTTTAACTTCTCTGCCAAAGTTTCGAGCTCCGTCAGTGCCATCTGAAGGGGCAACCTGTCGGGGTGTCCTCTGGGGGTGTTCTTCAGCATGTCCTGAAGGCAAGAAGCATAACAGGACACTTACCACTTGCATGCCTCCAGCTGTGGCACAGGACAACCAGGAGGGCAGCAGAGCTGGGAGGTAACGGCTGGGCCCCACAGGACTGAGCATCCGGTAGCTCCTCTACAGAGCAAGCGTGCCCACCAAGTGCACTGCTGAAGGGACATGGTGCCCACCATGGTGCCAGTGTGAGCAGGCCACAGTTCCCCAGGTCTGGTCAGAGCTAGAGCAAACCACCACAAACCGAGGAGCTGTGTTTGCAAACACCAGTGTCCCAGCAGTGCTCACTGGGCAGCGTGCACCCCCTGTGCCCAGCAGGGCTCCATGCTGTGCCACCCCAGGAAGGACCCTGACTTCCCAGGGGGCCCTCCCAGCTCTGACCTGGCAGACACTGTCTCTCAGTGGGTACACGAGCCCAGGGCTCCTTCCCAGCAGCAGGAGCTGGGCCACACTCTGGTAATTCTCACATTTCAAACATTCTCGCTGGGGCTCAGCCGCCGTGGGGGTCTGTGGCAGTGCCCTCTGATGTTACTATTCTGACTGCTGGGCTCAGCCGCCGTGGGGATCTGTGGCAGTGCCCTCTGATGTTACT